GCCCTGGTCCCAGGCGGCGGCAGGAGCTCCGTGACCTCCCGGACCTCTCTCCCCCGGGACGCGCTGTCAGCGCCTGCGGAATTTCGCTTCAACCGGTGACCTTGAGCTGGGGGCGACTTTAACCTTGAGCTTGTTAAAGTCCCTGGCTGCAGGTACGTCCCCGCCTCTTCCTCACCCGATGGCTGCTAACACCCTGACCTGCGGTGCTGAAAGGACGGCCTGTAAGCGGGGTTGGGTGCTGGTCGTCGGCGGGGCGTGGAACCTGCTAACCGCAGAGATGTGGAGAAGCAGGAATAGCCGCCCTTTGTCATCGGGAGCTCGCGCCGAGTGCAGCTCCGTCAGCCCCGGGGGTCACGGTGTGGCTTCGTTAAATTCCAGGCTGACGCCTTAACCAATGTCACACTCCCAGGAAGTGAGGAGCCTGTCGGTCTCCAACGGCCGGAAACAATCCCTTGTGTGAACTCCAGCTTCTTTCTTAAACTGTTGCTAGTGGGCAGGATTGTCAGCAAGAGGCCCTGTGTTACCTCCAAGCATGATGTGAGGAAAGGGAGGTTGTCCTAAAGGCAGCCCTAGCGCCCGTTTTGGCACTGCCAGTGCCATGTTGGGTTGTGCGCCCTTGCCAGCCGTTCTTATCTCAGAAGAGCAGGAGTGCAGTGTGTTGGGGAAACGCACTCCCCAGAAACCGAAAATCCGGCTCAGAGTCTGACCGGGTTCCAAATTAGCTCTGAGAGCTGGATATTTACATTCTTTGGGCCTTATTTCCTTTCCTTTGTTTCTTTTTTTTTTTTTTGGAGAGGTTTTTGTTGTAGGGCACGTGTGCTTGCCAGACAGACAGAGAGAGACAGAGAGATAGAAAGCGAGAAATCACCCCCCAGGAGGGATGGCCACGTCGCAATCCCTTCTCCTGCTGCAATTCCTTCTCCTCCTTTCTCCTCTTGGGATCTTGGGCACACATGCACACATATGTGCCTTGCGTGAGTTCCAAGCCACCGGGTCCGGGACAAGAACCACGGTCGGCCACGTGGGAGTCCAGCACCTTACCCACTGTATCTGCGAGACCTAGACAGGTGCCCGACACCCTGTGACAGCTGAGTGAACTAAGTGTACTTGCTGAGCTGAAACCAATGTCCTGTAATAATCTTGGATCTTAAACTCAGTCTGTCGCTCATAATCATTTTACTTCTTGTTTAATGGATATCAGTTTTATTTAAGCGTTTGTCATGAAATTTTTTGTTTCAGAAATAGAATAAAGTGTTTTTGGTAAGGTAAGACACCTATAGGTATAAACATTGATGGAATATTCTTTTTTTTAATTGTCAGAGAGCGTGTGCATTCAATAGTTCGAGACAGTGGAAAAAGTGCCCCTGGTGAGGCACAGCCATGCCACAGCCCCTTCCCCATGTCTCCATCCTGTCAGGATCTGGGGCACTCATGCTCACGTGCCTGGCATGTTTTTTCAGCTGCTGGGTCAGGGCTCAGACTGTGGTTGGCCATGTGGGACTGAGCTGTAGAGCTCAATGTTCTTTCTTGTCTGGCTTTAGAAATTCCTTAGTGTAGGGACCAGCAGTTGGCATAATGGCTATGTTGCTGGATTCCCGTGTGGTCTACTGCAGTTCGAGTTCCAGACCCGGTGGCTTGAACTCACGCTGGGCGTGTGTGCGTGCCCAAGATCCCGAGAGGAGAATGGAGGAGAAGGGATTGTGGCGTGACCATCCCCCTGGGGGGTGATTTCTCGCTTTCTGTCTCTCTCTGTCTTTCTGGCGAGCGCACGCTCCCTGTAGCAAAAACCTCTCTATAAAAAAAGAAATTACGTAGTGTGTGCTGAATGCTGTGGTTGATTAGCCGCAGTGAGTATTGGAGGCCATTGGATATATTTCCAAAGTTGGGTAGTACTTCCCCCCCCCTTTTTTTTTTTTGCCAGAAGGAAGGTGTGCTTCCCAGAGAGAGAGAGAGCACCAACCCCTTCCCCACAGGTGGGGATAGTCCTATTACAGTTTTTCCTTCCATCTCCTTCCTATCGGGATTTTGGGCATGCACGCACATGTTCCTGGTGCGCTTTTCAAGTATCCAGGGTGGGATTTGAACTGCAGTCAGCCATGTGGGCTCCAGCTCCCTATGCACAGGGCTTAACCGCTGCACTGTGGGATCAGCCCTTTGGTTTTGTTTTGTTCTGTTTTTTAAAATGCAAAGGAGTGGCATAAAGTTGGAAGGCACTTCGGAAGTTTTATAAAAATGCCCTTTATTCCCCAGTAGGTGGCACTGTTGGTCATGATTCGTGTTACAGAACAAGATTTTAGAATTTTAAAGAGCATAGCTCTTAAAAATTACTATTTGTTTTCCAGTTCACGTGAGAAGTAAACCATTCAAACAGCATAATTACTGAATGATGTATCGTATTGTGAGGACAGTTTGCTTTAGCAATAGTTATCTGAAAAATTGAGCAAATCAGTATCTTCATATTTAACTAAGCAGTTCAGTTTTACCAGGGAACGTGGTCTTAAATGACATGTAGCTCCATTCTAGCCCTTGGTTGGTGCTTCATGAGGTGGATATTCTAAGTAGCAGGAGTTAAAGGCAGCCCGAAGAAGACGAGCCCAAGACGTGTAAGAGAGACAGGAGAGGAGAGTGGCAGCGGGCGGGGGCTTGCTGGGAGGCAGTGCTTGCTGACTTACGGGGTCCTTGCCCCAGAGGTATCAGAGCTTGCTGCCAGTCTGCCCCAGCCGTGCTCTTACCTGCTGTCTCCCACTGCAGGGACCTGTGAGGATTTCAGTGCCGAGAAAAACCGCCCGTGTTCCCGCTGCTGTATCCAGGGTCTCAGCATAACCCGGACCCCAATATCCCGTGTCCGCCTGCCAGCCAGCCGCACACGTAGCGACTCCCGCGTCTTATGGACTTGCGAAGCCAGTTCCGCCCTCTTTCTTCCAGTGGCCAGTGCACCCTTTTAGTTTAGCACACTTAGAGGTAAACAGGAACACGGATGAGCAGCAGTGCCAGGGTTACGTCTCTGCTACCGTGGAGATAACCTTGGGTCCATGCTAAAGAGCGGCAGGAACTTTGTCAGGGTGAAGTCAGGTCCCTGGTCACAGCTGGTAGATCAGCTCCAGCACCAGCAGAACTGCATGCCCTTCCTTACTGGCTCCTAAAATCGTTGGATGTTCTCCTGCTTTTCCTTTAGCTCATTTTAATTTTCAGTTTCGCCTTTGCCCAGGAAGCATCTGAGTCTCTACTGCGGTCATGATTCTGGGGTCGTTGCCAGGCTCTGCTGGGGCCATCTGTACTCGGGCTGCCTTGCCCAGGTTGCCACCCGGCACCGTGCGCCACCTCGCTCTAAGCAGGTGAGTCTCCATGTCTTCAGTGTCATTTGCAGTTGATTTTCAAAGAAACTGCTGGCTCTGGGCGGCAGATCAGACTCCCAGGAGGGGTAGCATCGCAGCCTAATGTGCATTCCTCAGGAGATTGTCAATCTCTAGTTAAGATGTAGCTACTTTGTAGGATCCATAATGTTATGCTGTATTTTGAATAGCCATGATATTACATGGGAAACTAATTTTAGTATTTTTGTGATAATAATACTTAAAAACCTAATTTTATTTTCTGTTAAAGCATAATGAGATCCCAAAGGAAAACTGACCACTTGCAGAGGACTGCCAGCGCCGTGCGGCGGGAGGTCTGTACTTGGGTTTGCCAGGTCTTTCTGGTTGGGCACCCTGGCTCGCAGTTCTGACTGCCCAGTGGGTACAGTGTTCGTGAGCGCGATCTCTTTGAGGGACAGTTGAGAACGTTTGTTATGTTCTGTTTAGAGATTTTATGAGCAGGACATATGTAACGAATCTGAAAAGATGACAGGAAAGTTCAGAGCTTTTCTCTTTAAACTTGGAATAAGTATATTCATCCTCCGTGAAGGGAAGATAGCAGTTCAAAGAGCCAGTCTTGCAGTGATGGTGTTCAGGGTTCTATTTTAGAAATAGAACTGGCTTTAGAGCCTACACTTGATGACCAGCTCCCCTGCTCTTTTTCCCTTCTTCTTTTCTTTTTTGCTTTTTCTGGCACCAAGTCTCAAAAAGTCCTTGTTCTCCTCTCCACTTTAGAACAACTTATTGCATGAAGGGAAAAAGCACTCACATCTGAGAAAGGAAGGTGCAAGCTCTTGTTACCGCCAGCCCACCCCGTGCCCAGCGTTTCCTCACCGTAGCAGGCTAGAGAAAGCTAATCTGACCACGGGAGGGGGTGTCGGGCTGAGAACTAGAGGAGCTTCACCCTCATCTCAGTGAGTAACCCCATTTTCACTTAAGAAAAAACTGTATACTTGATTTTGTGATGTTGAGTATTTCTCACACACTCAGATATATTTAGCTTAGCGTTTCCTGTTTGACAGTTAACACTGTTTCATGCAGAGAAGTTACGCATTTCTGCAGCGCGAGCGGGAGTGTGTCGTCAGTTCAGGACAGTAGAGGGCGCTCTCCAGTGTAAAGCCGTGTTGTTTACACTCCACTTTTAGAGTTAGTCTACTTCCAGGAAGTTGCTTTGGGACTGAAGCTGGTATGTTGCTGGTTTGGTTTTAAGTTGATTTTTTTTTAAAGTCTATAAAATTAGTGCAGCAGGGTACGTGTGTATAGGGGAGTGTGCATGTGTGTTTATATGTGTGTGTGAATGAGCGTGATGTCTGTATATGTGTGTGTGTTTGTGCATGTGTATAGCAGTGTGTAGGTGTTTGTATGTGTGTTTGTGTATGTAGGTATTATGTGGGTTTGAGTGTGCAGTTATGTGTATGCATATTTATGTTGGAGTGTGTGCATGTTTTTAACGTGTGTATATATTTGTATGTGTGTACATGTTTGTAAATATGTCTATGTGTGTGCACACATGCATATGTGTGTATGAGAACATGCATGTGTACAAACGTAAATACGTCTATGTGTGTGTGCACACATGTATATGTGTGTATGAGAACATGCATGTGTACAAGTGTATAAGCATGTTTATGTGTGTGAATTATACCAGCCATAAGAAGAATAAGCTAGGACTACCCCAGGGAAATGGGAGGGTCGTCCTCGCTGAATCTCTGAGTCTTAATCTGCTCATCTGTGAAGTAGGAATTAGGATGCCTGCACCTCCCTCCTGGGGTGCTTCTTGTACAATGAGTACTTTATAGACAGAAAGGCAGCAATACAGGTAAGACACGATAGGACAATAAGTAGACCTCTAACAGCAAGCTAGTACAAGTGAAAAGGAATCAGTGCTTTTTCCAAAATCGATCAGGTGCATAAAATTAGTTTCTTCAGATCAGAGTCCGCCCTAATCCGAGTCAGAGGCTGCCTCCCACATTCAGCTGTAACCCCAAGACTTAGCCTAGCATCTGACATATTTCCAAATGAATAAGTGAATGCATGAGAATTACTAATGCGTGCCCCAAACCCCGGGAATGGAAGCGACGGGACTGCAGCCTGGCCATCCCTGCCCTGGAGGGTGATTTTTCACTTCCCCTCTCTCTGTCTCTGGTAAGTGCACGCGTTCTATGGCAAAAACCTAAAAGAGAAAAACAAAACAAAAATCGTGGCTGGGACCAGGAGATGGCGTAATGGCTGTGTCGCTGGACTCCCACATAGTCGACTGTGGTTCCGAGTCCCAGACCTGGCAGCTTTGAACTCACGCCGGGTGCATGTGAGTGCATGCCCAAGAGGAGGATGGAGGAGAAGGGACTGGCGTGGCCATGCCCCAGGGGTGAGTTCTCGCTTTCTGTCTCCAAGCCTCTGTATCTTTCTGGACAGTGTGCATGCCCTATAGTAAAAATCTCTTTCTTCAAAGAAAGAAGGAAAGCCCGTCGGGCACCTGTGCACACACTGAGGATCCTGACGGGGTGGGGAAACGGAGGGGGAGGAATTGCTGTGTGAGCACGTTTCAGAGGGCGGTGCTTGCTCTCATTTCTCTTCCGCCACCCCCTCCTCCTGGTGAGTGTTCATACTTTCTGGCCATTAAAAAAAAGAAAGTAAAAACACGAGGTTGACATAGACTCGTGTGGTTTTTCTTTCACTTAGGTTAAAATTGGCACCTTGCGATCTGACCCCTGCAGGTCAGATTGCTATTTGGCCACCATCTCAGTAATGCCTCTGGGTCTTGGTGTCTTTCTGCAGAAAGTGGCAGACTGTTCTCGATAGTGACTGAAGCCTCCTTCAGCTCTGAACTTCTCCAAGTCCTAGCTGCATTTCGGTTTCAAGTCGTCTCTAATCCTGGCTTTGCCTGCATATTTAAGCCAGAAAACAGTGAACAGGAATGACAGGGAAGGCCGGTTTTCCCAAGGAAGGCCTATGCCCTGTACAGGACTTTTGCATCAGCAGGCACATCCAAATATCTTGCAAGAAGGCAAAAACATCCAAATATCTTGCAAGAAGGCAGCTTCTTAAATCAGTGTGTGGAACTTCCTCTTACATGCTGACTCCATCGAGACCTTAAAAATGTATACTAGTGGAAGTCGGCAAGCTGTCGGACAGAAGGGTCTGCATGGTATTTTATGGGAAACTTCATTTCCTGCCATGTGTTCTGGCTCGGGCTGTGGCTCGGTGAGGTTTCAGTTTCCCAGTCCTGGTCCACGAAGTGCAGAGCGTGCACACGCCACAACACTGCTGCTTTCCCGTGCGCTTGCACACTCGGTAAAAGGGGGGCACGGCTCACGGTCAGGACCGCACTGAGAGCCTCGTTATGTGGGAAACTTGTGGGCAGTAGGCACTAAAGTGAAAAATACAGCTGAAGGGACCAGCAGTTGGCGTAATGGCTGTGTCGCTGGACTCCCACGTAGTCGACTGGTTCAAGTTCCTGACCCGGTGGCTTAAACTCACGCCGGGCATGTGTGCGTTCATGCCCAAGATCCCGAGAGGAGAATGGAGGAGAAGGGATTGGGGCATGGCCATCCGCCCTGGAGGGTGATTTCTCGCTTTCTGTCTGTCTGTCTCTCTGTCTTTCTGGCGAGCGCACGCGCCCTATAGCGAAAACCTCTGGAAAAAAAATACAGCTGAATACGGAGTGTGGCTTGCTTTCTCTTCTTCACTGAATTTTGTATTTGAACATTGGCAATCAACTCCATTTCCCATAGTCCAGAGTCTGGTTGTAAAGCATTCTCATTGGTTTCAGCTGAAATTCTCCTCCTACAGAGCTTATGAATATTGATCTCCCTGTCAAGTGACTCTTCCAGAAGTGTTCGAAGCTTCTAGGTATAGTTTTGTTAATTCAACAGAAGCTAGTTAGGCTGTCAGAAATGAGAAGATCTCACTCTTGGCTGTGTTTTTACAAATTACGATATTGAAAGAAAACAGTTCGTGTTTATAAAATAACGTTTCTTTTGTATGAACAAAGGTGGGAGCGAGCAAGTAGTGAGGCCTCGGCTGTTCCTGCCCCTCGGTGACGCGGGGTGTGGCGAGGGACACAGCAGCCCTCCCTGTGGCCTCGGCTGTCCCTGCCCCTCGGTGACGCGGGGTGTGGTGAGGGACACAGCAGCCCTCCCTGTGAAGAGCCGCGCCTGCTGCGTCCTCCTTGGGGACATCGGGCCGGCTTCTCCGCGGTGCAGCCCCAGCGTTCTCTAACCCACAGCGGGCTGCACTACGTGCCTCATGTGTGATCTTGCTAGCCTTCCTGGCAACTCCGAGATGCAGTTGTGATTCACAGTTTTTTCTCTTTTCATTTACTTATTTGTTTGAAAATCATGCCAGGTGCATGTGTGTGTGCCCAACATGTGAAGAGAATTAAGGGGTGATTTTTCATTTTCACTCTCTCTCTCTCTCTCTCTCTCTGTCTGTCTGTCTGTCTCTGTGTGTGTGTGTGTGTGTGTCTGATGAGCGCTTGTGCCCCATAGCCAAACTTAGAAAAAAGAAGTAAGTTAACGAGTCCCTTAGAGAGATGTTCGTTGTACACGGGATGCAATTAAACTAGCGTGATAGAAAGCTTCTCAGAAAGAAGTGCATTGGAGTTTGTCCTCCTGGTGGTGACTGCCCTGAAGCAGCGGCAGCGTTCGCATGGTAGATTTCAGAAGGCCTCGGTGCCCGGAGTGCCAACGCCGCGGCCTCGCACTGCGCACACACTGGCCTCAGCACGGTTGTCTTTTGGCTCTAGATCGTGTCACCTGCCAAGGTGTGTGGAGCCGCCGACGAGTCGCCCACGGTGAGGAGCATCCGCCTGCTCGTGGCCGATAAGCACTTCTCCTTTAAAGCCGGCCAGTGGTGAGTGGCTTTTCTTTTTTCCAAATGCGCGTGTTCGAGAAGGTGCCATCAGGTAGGAGGGACTCCTCTTTCTTCCGAGAAGGACGTCTGTGGCTGGCCACTGCCCCTGGGGGAGGGGTGCGAGCCTTTTTGCATGGAGAATCTGCTTTCTGTCCTGGCCTCGGAGTCCACGCGGGGCGTGTGCAGGGTCCTCTCAGCGCGCATCAGTCGTGTCGCTGTGAGCCCTCTGTGTGCAGGCGGCCGCGCACTGGTCTGCAGGGCCAGCCGCTCTCGGGCATGGTGTCGGCCGCCCCAACGGCAGACAGGGCGCTGCGGCACTCCGGTGTGCTCACCTCTGTGCTGCTGGAGAGTCCCACAGTTCGAAAGCTCGTCCTCATGCCCAGTAAGGAGTAAACGAAGCGGTCTGGAGAGAATGGTCGCTGTGTCGTGGGACCTGACCGTCTGCTCGCCCGAATTTATGAATCACTCTTCCCTGATCTGGGTTGGAAATGCTCTGCTCTATGCAGGATGACGGCTCCCAGTCGGGCCCAGCCCTCCCTTTCCTCCTTCCTCCACTCCTCCGCTGCCAGGTCGTAACTCAGGAGTAATCAGTGTGCTGTCGGGGTAACAGCCCCGTGTCCCCCTGTCCCTCCCAGTGGCCTCACTGAGCTGCAATTCAAGTGGAATCGTAAAGAATGCGACTCACAGTTCCCCAGGAGAAGGTGGAGAAGGTGTGTTTGGGTGTGTGTGTCCTTTATTTAAATAAAGCACTCATTTCTAAGTGAATTTCTGGCACGTCGATCTTGATAGTACTTCTTAGGAGTCACTTGACTAATTTTGGCAGTCCATCTGGAAATGTGGTTTTGTCAGGAGGAGGATGTGTGATCATAGCAAGTGCTAGCAGTCTTGTGTTAATAGTTTGCCTTTGAATTTCAAACTAGAAAACAAGATGCTGATTGCAATAATTTGCGTTTGTGTAGCAATTTACTGCAATCTTTGCACACGTTCCGTGATACATATCAGATGCAGTTTGGCTGTTTTGGGGGGTGGGCAACATGTTTACCCTTCAGAGCGGTTAGCCCTTCCTACATGGACAAGTCGACACTTTAACTGTGACGGCCCGCTCTCCCACACTTCCTTCTGCGGACGTGTCTGGGGCACGCGCAGCCCTGTCTGCCTCCCACCCTGAATCCCGCCCAGACGCAGACCCCAGTCCCCTGCTCAGAAGCCCGAGCTCTATTAAAGTGCCGCTGCCAGTGCATCCTGCAAGCCTGATTCCCGCTTTCTGGGGTCCCTTTGTGGTTCCTAAGGTGAACTTCCTGGGGGTTGGCATGCCATAGCCCTTCCAGCCCCTGGAGTTGATCACTGATGTCAGGAATGGTTTTAGCACGAGCCTGACCGATCCCAGCTCCTGAGGTCAGGCCTGGGGAGAGGGGCCATCGTGGCCCGTTAGCAGTGGCCCTTCCCCTGCCATGTGTTGGCCAGCACTCCTTCCTGGCACTAGGTCCACCCCTTTGCACAGATTGTCCCCTTACAGTGGCTTGTTGTGTGGCTCTAGGGGGTGTGGGTCCCTTTGATGTTTAGCCCCACGTGTGCAGAGCGGCCTTTGCCGAGGCTGACGACGTCCCTGCCTCCCGGGCTGTCACAGGCTGACTGCGTGCTCTAGGCGCTCCTAGATCGTCTCAGTAGTAACCCCCCGTGGCTGGCACTTGGGAGAAGAGGACGCAGATCGGCGAGAGGGAGCTGGGATGTGGCAGAGACCGAGGGTATCAGCCCGGAGCTGCGGCAGCGACCGCGAGGATTGCCACTGGGCTTCTCCGGAGGGATTTGGCCGTGAACCTGCATCTTAGGATTTTTGCCAAACTCTTGAGGATGAGGTTCCAGGCCCGATCCTACCAATAAATGGATAAATGGATGCTCTTTATGACCAGCTAGAGCTCTGGCCACAGATCCCTGTGTGGACACCCTCAGCATAGACCAGAGAAGGCCCTCGGGGCTCTTCCTGGGCTGCACTTCTTCCTGGCCTCCCAGGACTGGCTGCTATGCTGGGAGATCAGTTCAAGAACCCCAGCCGTCCAATCCAGCAAGACGCCAGAAGAGGGCCCTTTCCACTGGCATTTTTCAGAGGGTAGGGTGGAGCCTCGGGCTCCTCTCCTTAGTAGCCAGGCGGGTGTTTGCTGGCAGCTGGCTTCTTGTGTCTGCTCCTCACCCTCCAGGCCCCCTCCTCCCTGGGCGGAGAGACTGGCACCCCCTCCTGGGGCCGGAGGGGCCGCTCTGAGCCCGCCTGCCAGTGGGTCTGTGTGGGCAGGGCCCGAGCCGTCTGTACAGTGTATGGCCCTCACGTGTGCAGCAGGCTGGACTCGGCCATGCGTGGGAAGCACTGCACCCCTCAGCACCTCCGTTCTCACTGCCCTTCGCCATGCTTGTCGGTGAGCGTTCAGGGTCTCTAGATCAGTGGAAGTGAGCTCTCCCCTGCAAAGTCTTCCTGGTTCCCCCACTCCTGGGGCGGTGGACTGCTCCTTCCTCTGCCCTGTCCCTTTCCTCTAAGCAGATTTTACCGCGGCCCAGGCGATGGTATTTATTTCTTCACTATCCTCCCATTAGAGGGTTTTATTGAGGGCAGGAGCCAAGACATACCCAACACCTCCGCGCCTCCAGCAGGCGCCTTACTGTCCGTCATCGTAGGCAGGCGCTGTCGGGGTCTGTGCAGAGAATGAGGGGCTCCGAGTGCTGCGGCAGAGGGTAAAAGGATCTGGCTCTCACAGGACAGCACTGTCAGCTGCCCAGGGTCTGCATCACCGTGCGCTGGGCGCTGGGCTGCCTCTGTGTGCAGGGCTGGCTGCCCGCAGTGCCAGAGGAGCATATGGGCATGTTACTTCATTATGCACCTGGGCTCTTCGCAGTTCACTGACTCATCTGGGGTACAGTGGGCGCCCCAACTACTGCTCCAAGAGTGCTCATTCTGCAAAGGGGATTTCTTCCCTCCTCTCCCCTCCCCTCCCCTCCCCGCTTCTTTGTGCCAGAGGGTGCATGTGCTCACCAGAGACAGACAGGGAGAGGAAAAATGCACTCCCTCCATACAGGACGTGGTCACGCTTCAATTTCTCCCTCATTTCTTCAGCCTGTCAGGATTGGGGCCATACATGCACGTGTACCAAATGTGTTTTTCAAGCCAATGGGGCCAGGGTTTGAACCACATGGTCATGTGGAATCCAGCCCTGTCGACCACTAGGTCATAGGTCAGCCCCTGTAAAGCGCATTTATAAAGGTGTGTGTTTATAGTTTCTTTCTTGGACAGATGTTTTATGAAATACGTGTTGCTCATATTTCTAAAAATACATTCAGATAAATTTTCTATGTAATTTGAATTCTTCTGTATATGTTAATGAAAAAAACCTTTTTTCCCCCAAAGGTTGTCCAGAGATTAGAGAAGAGGGGTCCCTTTCACTCCCCTGAGAGACAGGTTGTTACGTTGAGCAGCAGAGGGCGCTGCAGTTCAGGGGATAAAGCCGCAAAAGGCGCCCATTGATTTAGTTATTTTTTTTAACATGGAAATTGTGGAGATTCTAAATCTTTTCTCTTCGATAGCATAGAGCAGCTGTGTTAATAAAGGCTAAATATAGTATTTAAAATTTTCATCTTGTCTTAAATGAAAAGGAAGTTGAAGTATTTATGGAAAAGCGTCAAGTGAAAATAGGGTCTGGATCATTTCCATTCCCAGGCTGGATTTTCCAAGACAACAGAAAAAATGACCGGATATCTAAGGCCACAGATGAAAGGAGAGTATCACTTAAGGTCATAGATCGGATCAGTAGAGAACATCTCGTACTTTTCATATCAGCCTGCATGTAGGGGAACAGCCGGGGAGAAATTGCTTTTTGCTGTTTGACTGTTGAAAAACACCTAGATTGAATATGTAAATTTTCTAGACATAAGAATAATAATTTTGTGTAGACCTGGTTCTAAAAAAATTATTTTTTCATTGGTATGTGATGACTGGATTTGTTGCATTTTCGAGGATCTCCACCAAATGGTTTTTTGTGACCAATTATTGAAGGCTCGAAATTCAAGAGTTATAGGCTATAGGAGTGTGGTTAAAAGCAAAGAAGGAATCGTAAGACTTTCAGAACTCCGAAGGTCACATTAGCTTATTTAAGTTTGGCAAATGCCAGTCAAAGAGTTTATGTTGTTTTTGTTGTTGTTGCCCCCCCTCCCCTTTAAAAAAAAATGATTGAGATCTTCAGGTTGAATATCTCTTATCTGAAATGTCTGGGATTACAAGTGTTTTGCATTTTGGAAGATTTTAGATTTTGTAATAGTTGGATATACATATTGAAATCCCTTAGTGATGGGACCCAAGTCTAAACCCTAAATTCATTTATGCTTTATATACATCTTATACACACACTGAGGTCATCTCAATACAGTATTTTTGTATGTCAACGTTTAGGCTGCAACCTGTCACATGAAGTTAGACGTGGAGTTCTCCACTTACGGTGTCATGCTGGCACTGTGAATTTTTCAGATTTTGGAGCATTTCTTTTTTGAGTGGAATGTATTTTCGTTTCTCTTGGGTGTAAATCTAGAAATAAAATTGTTGGGTCATTTGGTAACCGTGTCCAACTTTTGTAGGTATTTCCAAACTTTCTCAAAGTAGCTGTACCGTTTTACAACCCCATTAATGATATGTGAAGGTTCCAGCATAACACTTCCTATTGCTTGTCTTTTTGATTTATATTTCCCTAGTGATTAATGATGTCGAGCATCTTTTCATGTGCTTATTAATCATTTATATATCTTCTTAGAAGAAATGTTCATTAAAATTCTGTTCCAGTTTTTAATTTTGCTTGTCTTTTTCTTTTTTTAAGCCAAGTTGTAAGAGTTCTGTGCATAATCTGTGTGTAAGCTCCTTAATGTGTATGTACACTTTTTTCCCATTCTGTGGGTTGTTTCTTACCTTTCCGGATGATATCACTTGTAGCACAAAATTCTTCATTTTGATAAAATCTGGTGTTTCTGTTTTTTCTTTTACCTTTGTGGTTTGATGTTGCATCTAAGAAACCATTGTCATGAAGATTCACTCCTGTGTTTTCTTCTGTACGTTTATAACTTTAGGTCTTAAAGTGTACACCTCGGCTGCCTTTTTACTTTACTTTTGTTTATGGTATGAGGTAGGAGTCCAGCTCTATTCTTTTACATGTGGATATCCAATTGTCTCAATATCATTTCTTGAATGGAATACTTTTTCCCCATCGAATTGTGTTGGCATCTTTGTTAAAAATCAGTTGACCATAAATTTAAGGATTTACTTTTGGATTCTCAATTCTTTTCCATTGAGCTGAATGTCTGGGGTTTTTTGTTTGTTTGTTTTTGCCAGTATTATAATATGTTCATTATTGTAACTGTAGAGGAACTTTTTTTTTTTTTCTTTTTTTGGAGAGGTTTTTTTTTTTGCTATAGGGCACGTGCACTCGCCAGACAGAGAGAAATAGACAGAAAGCAAGAAAACACCCCTCCAGGGGGGATGGCCACGCCGCAATCCCTTCTCCTCCATTCTCCTCTCGGGATCTTGGGCATGCACACACACGCGCCTGGCATGAGTTTAAGCCACCGGGTCCAAGACTTGAACCACAGTTGACTTCGTGGGAGTCCAGCGACATAGCCATTACGCTAACTGCTGGCCCCACTGTAGAGGAACTTTTGAAATCAGGAGGTGTGAGTCCTCCAGATTTATTCTTTTTCAAGATTGTTTTAATGATCCTGGGTTCTTTTAATTTCCATATGAATTTTATGATCAAGTTATTAATTTCTAAGGAAAGAAACTACTGGTATTTAGGTAGATACTGCATTGGATCTGTAAATCAATTTGATGAGTATTGCCATCTTAACAATATTGTGTTCCAGTTCATGAACATAGGCCATCTTTTCACTGATTTAGATCTTTAATGTTTTTAATAATGCTTTTTAGTTTTCACTGTGTAAGTCGTATACTTATTTTGTTAAGTTTGTTTTCAGTTATTTATATGCTATTTCATAAAAGACATTTTCTTTTTTTGGAGAGGTTTTTTTTTTTGCTATAGGGCACGTGCACTCCCCAGACAGAGAGAAATAGACAGAAAGCAAGAAAACACCCCTCCAGGGGGGATGGCCACGCCGCAATCCCTTCTCCTCCATTCTCCTCTCGGGATCTTGGGCATGCACACACACGCGCCTGGCATGAGTTTAAGCCACCGGGTCCAAGACTTGAACCACAGTTGACTTCGTGGGAGTCCAGCGACATAGCCATTACGCTAACTGCTGGCCCCACTGTAGAGGAACTTTTGAAATCAGGAGGTGTGAGTCCTCCAGATTTATTCTTTTTCAAGATTGTTTTAATGATCCTGGGTTCTTTTAATTTCCATATGAATTTTATGATCAAGTTATTAATTTCTAAGGAAAGAAACTACTGGTATTTAGGTAGATACTGCATTGGATCTGTAAATCAATTTGATGAGTATTGCCATCTTAACAATATTGTGTTCCAGTTCATGAACATAGGCCATCTTTTCACTGATTTAGATCTTTAATGTTTTTAATAATGCTTTTTAGTTTTCACTGTGTAAGTCGTATACTTATTTTGTTAAGTTTGTTTTCAGTTATTTATATGCTATTTCATAAAAGACATTTTTCCAAATTTCATAGTTGACTCGTTCATGTCTAGTCTATAGAAACACAGATGATTTTTGTATATGGGTCTTATATCCTGTAACTTGACTTGAGTTTATTAGTTCTCTTTTTAGTCAATTTATTAGGGTTTTCTATATACAAGGTCATGCCATCTGTAACTCCTTCCTCTTCACCTAGGTGCCTTTCATTTCATTTTCTTGCTTACTTGTCTTGGCTAGAACCTGTAGTACAGTGTTGAGCAAAAGAGGTGGGAATAGACATCCTTGTCTTATTCCTGTTCTTAGGAAGGAAACTTTCAGTCTTTTACAATTAACTATGGTGTTAGCTGTGGGGTTTGTTTGGTTTGTTTTTAATTGCCAGAGGTGTGTGCTCAGCAGAAAGACAGAGGGAGAGATAGAGGGAGAAAGTCTCCCCTGCATGGAACATAGTCACCTGCAATCCTTTCTCCTCCATTTCGTCATCCTGTTGAAATTTTGGACACACATGCATACACACTTGACATGTTTCTCAAACCGCTAGGGCTAGGATTCAAACTATGGTCAGCCATGTGGGATCCCTCTCTCTTAACCACTAGGCTATGGAGCTGACTCTGCTGTGGGTCTTTTGTAGATGCCCTTTATCAGGCTGAGGATTCGTTGAGTGTCCTTACTAGGAAAAGGTGTTGAATTTTGTCAAATGCCTTTTCTGAGTTTGAGGTGATCATGTTGGTTTTATCTTTTATTTTATGAAGTAGTGTATTTTTTTAAGAGAGATTTTTGGAACCAGCAGATGGCAAAATGGTTACGTCACTGTACTCCCACGTAGTCCACCACAGTTTGAGTCCCAGACCCAGAAACTTAAACTCACACCGGGCATGTGTGCATGCATGCCCAAGATCCCAAGAGGAGAATGGAGGAGAAAGGATTGTGGTATGACCATCTCCCCAGAGGATGACTTCACTCTTTCTGTCTCTCTGTCTCTCCGGCAAGTGCATGTACTCTATAGCAAAAATCTCTAAAAAAAAAAAAAAGAGAGAGAGAGAGATTTTTCCCATAGGGTGCATACACTCACTGGAGTGACAGAGAGAGATAGAAAGTGAGAAGTCACCCCCCTCCACGGGTGGGGGATGGCCATGCTGTAATCCCTTCTTCTCCATTCTCTTGGGATTTGGGGCACACATATGCCCAGCATGAGTTTCAAGCTCCCAAGTCCGGGACTCAAACCCACATGGAAGTCCAGTGCCTTAACCACTACACTGCCTGCTGCTCCCGGCATTAATTCTTCTTTAAATGTTTGGTAGAATTCACCGGTAATGTCATCTGGACCTGAGCTTTTCTTTGTGGGAAGTTTTTAAATTACTGATTTAGTTCTTTGAATTGTTATGGGTCTGTTTAGATTTTCTATTTCTTCTTGAGTCAGATTTGATAGTTTATGTCTTCCTAGGACTGTGCATTTTACCTAAGGTATTTAATTTTTTTAGCCTGCAGTTGTTCATAGAATTCCTTTTTGATATTTTTTATCTTTGGTAATGTTAGAGATTATGTCCCCTTTTATTCTTGACTTTGGTAATTTATTTTTCTTTGTTCTTAGTCAGTCTAGCTAACAGTTTATGAATTTTATTTATTTCATTGCTTATTTTTTAAATTGCCTTAACAATAATAATTTATTTGTCTTTCCTTTTAGGGTTGATTTCTTCATTCCAGGAGTCTCTGTAGTTGGTGGGTTTTCAATATGCTCTAGTCCCAGACTGCTGGAACAAGAGAGGATGATAGAATTGGCAGTGAAATACACGAACCACCCTCCTGCCCTCTGGGTCCACAATAAGGTGAGCCAACTGCCTGTTGAAACTTGGCGATGTGGGCATCTCTGCCTCCCACACTCTGTCCACCTGAGAAACCTAGGCTCTCATGAGAAAGAAGGGTACACGCTCACAAATACTTTCTCAGAAAGATCAAAGAAGCACAATCTTTTTGATGCAATAAATATGATTTAAATAGACTTTGGGATCCAGAAATATTTTCTCGGTCACCCAACAGAATTAAAATGGTTTATATCTTATGCAAGTTATCGAAAGGTGGCCCTCTTGGTTGTACCCATGATGAATGTAGAGTCAGACCATTTTGTCCCCGTCATCTTAAATGCAGGGTTTCACATTAACTGTCATTGTTTGTGGGGGAAAAGACCTCTGATTACATAACACCGCTGGTGCCCAGAAATGAGCACAGGTCAATCTGCGGTGTCAGTCCCAGAGAGCTTTTAATGTGGGTTCCGAGAGGGGGTCCGCGTTTGATGGCTGCCAGGCACTCACGTTTCACTGCAGGGCTCAACACGAGCCTACGGAAGCTGCCTGTCGTTGCCTCCTAGAACTTTGGTAACGAAGAAGGAGCTCAGAACAGATCAGTTACTGTCATCTCAGTGTGTGACCCTTGTCTCCTTTCACTGCCGTCCTCTTCATTGCTAGAATGTGCCTCTGTATTTGCCAACATCCTCCATCCTGTTGTAGGTGTTCTCTCATCTGCTTTACCGAAAAGAAATGCGCCAGTACAGATACGGTTTCAAACACTTAGCGTTCTCCTGTTTCCTGGAAGTCATTAAGAGTCCACAAAGGAGAACAGTGAACAAAACTCTTTACTTTACTTTACACACGCACTCCAGTATATTTTTAGAGATCGCAGAGAAGTGTTTATTTCTCTAGAAGCTACACAGGAGTAAGTAGAGGAGACAGGCCAACAGTGGCAGGTCTCAGAGCACCAACAGAAACACACATGGGAGTAAGAGCAGGACTTTTAGACTTCTTCTGTAAAAGAGGATGTGGAAACAGGTTTGAAGCTAGTAGCTTAGGAAGTCAAGTCCCACTTAGACTCTGTTAGGTTCAGTTAGGAGAGAGGGCACACGAAGGATCACATAGACAAACCCAATTTAAAGGAATATGTTCTTATAGTTAGCAAAGGAAACTTTTGTCCTGGAAAAATCAGCCAATTTAGGATATTCTCTTGGTCCATGTGTGAATATAAGACCTTTTTGCAAATAGCTGGCCAAAGAAAATCACAGTTCATCTCAGTCTCATGAAAGAAATCAGAGAAGACATGAGTAAATAGAAAGACAGACTGTTTTTAAATGGACTGGAAGATTCAACATAGTGAAGCAGATCTTAAATTGATTTATAGATTTAACACAACATTAATCAGACTCTTAAGATTTTTTTTATAGACATAGACAAACGGATTTTAAAATTTGTGTGGGAAGAAAAAGGAACTAGATGAGTTAAAGCAATTTTGGAAGAAAAAAGTAATAAAGTGGGAAGAGTCACATTATTGAAATCGAGTATTAAAACGAAGCTACTGTAATTAAAATAGTGTGGTATCGGTGAAAGGGTAGACACGTAGATCAGTGGACCAGAATAGAGTTGAGAAATAGGTTGGCATGGCCATTTTATTTTTGACAAATAACTAAAGGAATTCCATGTGGGAAGAATAGCCTTTTCCAGCAAGTAATTCTGGAACAGTTGTACATCCAAATGCAAAAGAAAACTCCAAACCTCATGGTTTATGTTAAAAAATAAACTCAAAATGGGTTGTCTGTCTAAATGTACAACATGAACCTATTAAAGCTGTAGAAGTAAACACAGGAAATATTTTGAACTTGAATGTAGGCAAAGAATTGATAGACATGATACCAGAGTAAGATCCGTAAAAGAAAAAGTTGATAGATAGGTGTTCTAGACCCATTCTGTTTTTAACATCAGAAGGTAGCCCAGTCTGGGTGGTTTATTCAGCTCACAGTTTGGCGATCAAGGTCCGGGGGCCGCATCTGATGAGGGTCCCCTTGCTGGAGGGTCACATGGCCTTACCGAGCAGAGCAGGACACCATGTGTTTGTGTCCATGTGTCCTTGTTTTATTTCCGCTTCTTATAGATCTAACCAGTCTTCAGTCATGGGGCACCCATTCCAAAGGCCACGCCTTTCCGTTCATTGTCAGATTGAGTTTCCATCCTCCTAATCCCATTACAGCCAAATTTGAACACATGAATTATTGGAGGATGTATTCAAACCATTACAATAGGACTTAATCAAAACTAAAACTGTTTTCTGCAAAAGTCATCATTAATAAAGTTGAAAAACAACCTATAGGCTGGGAGAAAATATTTGTAATCAGTTGTACAACAAAGGACTCTCATGCAGAATATTTAAAGAACTCTCAAAAGTTTCTCAACATAATTTTTTTAAATGGGCAAGGATTGAATAGACACTTCACTAAAAAGGACATGGGGGGGGGGATAAGCTGTGAAGACACGCCCGCATCATCAGCAGTGAGGAAGGTGTAATAAAGCCGTATATAGCGGGACACCGTTTCAGGCCTGTAGAGGGGTTCACGTGGGAACTACTGACAGTGCCCAGTGCTGGCTAGGATGTGGAGCAGCTGCAACTCTCATGGCTGCTTGCATTACTAGCTGGAGTGCAAACTAGTACGGCTATTCTAGAAAACATTGCGGCCACTGTATATGAAGTTAAAAATACACTTACCCTGTGATTCAGCAGTACCAGTCCTGAGTACTTATTCTAGAAGAGGGAAAGCTGTATTCATATAAAAACCTAACGTGATATTTCTAGCAGTGCTGTTTGTAATTATCAAGAACTTGAAACAACCCAAGTATCTCTCCATGGATAAACAAACTGATAGGGTCTAACAATGGGCCACTGTTCAGCCATGAAAGGGATGCACTGTTGGTGCACACATCACCTTGGGGGACGTTCAGAGGCCTTATGTTGAACGAAAGAAGCTAGTCCCAGGACCAGCAGTTGGTGTAATGGCTGTGTCGCTGGACTCCCATGTAGTCGACTGCGGTTCGAGTCCCGGACCTGGTGGCTTAAACTAATGTCAGGCACGTGTGTGTGCGTGTGTGCCCAAGATCCCCAGGGGAGAATGGAGAAGAAGGGATTGCAGCGTGGTCATCCCTGCTGGGGGGTGATTTCTCACTTTCTGTCTCTCTGTCTCTCTCTGTCTTTCTGGTTAGTGCAAGTGCCCTATAGCAAAAACCTCTCGAAAGAAAGAAAGAAGCTAGCCCCAAAGGGGACAGACTATATAATTCTGTATTTCACATTCTGGAAGCTAAAAATACTAAGGAGGGAAACTTCAGTGGTTGACAGGGGCTGGGATAGGGAAGATTATAAGCATAAGGGGAGTTTTGGGGTGAAGGTAGTTACAGAAATATGTATGTGTGTATATATATATATATATGTGTGTGTATGTATGTGTTAAAATTTGTAGAATTACACCGAAAGAAGAAAAATTTTACTATGAGGCTTTCTTTATTGTCATTACTTAGCATGCTAAAGATGGTCATTGGAGAAAATGCCTTATTTTTCAGTCTCTTCTGATAAGGTAATTTTAAAAACAATCCTTTCTTAAATCTATAGGGACATACAAATATATTGTTCCTGTGGTTTCCTTGAGACATGGAGTCTGCTCAGGGTCTCTGGATTCTCCTCCTGGTACTGCTCTGGGGTCTCTGAAAACACACTGGTGGAACCCACACGGTGTCCACGTGCCCCTCTCCTGGAGTTGAAATGAGCCTGTCCATTCCAGCTCCTAGTGCCACGAGCCCCCACCCCCACCCCGCCCC